ATTCCTGATTTATTTTGTTGTTGTTTTATTTGATTTAAATAGACAATATACTTTATCACTAATGAGAGATGTGCTTTTAAATCATCACATATAAATCCCTGGGACTATAATTTGACTTGATCGTAAGAAGTATTAAACAGGATTTACTTGTTTAATTAATAAAAGCTGAAGCATTGATTCTATTGTGTGTTTTTTTTCTCCCCTCATACTGTGCCTCCTGCATGAAGGCATTTACCTTTTATGCAAAATGGTCCATCGTAGGCTGTTTTGGAGCAGTCACAAGAGTAGCCGTTGTATTTCTCGACGCATTTGCCCCCATTTGCGCAGTACATTCCATAGCTCGTGCAATGGCCAGAGCAGCCAGGCTTCACCCCTGGTGTGACTTTTGCTCTCTCTTCCAGATCCAGCGTCACCCCATTCATCCTCAATGAACGAATGCAACCTAGAAAGCCCCGCTGGCCTCCAGCAGCACCTGAAAGGGAACGCAAAATAGTGGGACAACACTGGATAGATTTTATTGCTGTTGTTTTATGGGAACTATCCTGCTAAGCTTGTGACAACAGCTGGAAGGAAGTGGCTTCTTTGAAAAGCCAAGGAATTTCCAAGCCCTAATGAAACTGAAAACAGTAAAATCTAAGCTTTCAGTCCATACCAGAAATAAGTATAAATAATAGATGCCTTGGATGATTACATCAGTAGAGACTCCAGTCCTCTGCTTGAAGACTTCCATTTCGTTTCAACTTCAAGATTTTTAGAGAAAATAATGAAACTAATAGCCTTGGATCTATAGCTAAGATATAGCTTCATGTTCCATGTGATTAGTGATGACGGATGCTAATAGTAATGCCATTATACCTTAGGTACATTTTTCAAAGTTAAGATGGGGAAATGGGAAAAAGATTTAAATCTCCACTCTCAGGTGCATTAGGAAATACAGATTTCCAAACAGTGTCAGCTATATTTAGTTACCTGAGTACAGGGTGAAGGAAATAACACTGAAGAGCTGCATTTGAAAATTTGAGTCAGGGGTGGCTTTTCTTAGCTGTTAGTAAGAATTGTTCTTTTTTTTTTTTTTATTCCCTGGTAAATACCTGCTGAAAAACACGGTTTCAGCTAGCAAATACCTTGTCTGGGTCTGGATTAAAAACTAAAAAACTAAAAACCATATGCCAATAACAGTGAGTGGCTCTTATTCTTTCTCCTCATCCTCTCATCCCTACGGTTAGTGCATTACTGCAGATGCTGAAGAGACCCCCTCTTTTCCTGAGCAGGTCTGAAGGCTCATCACAGCAGAGCACAGAAACTGATATTTAACTGGGCGGAGATTAGGACTACAAACACAGATCAAGAAAGCAGGCTGGTTCAAATTAAATGGAGGTAAATGGACAAGGTGGGTAAAGGGGGCAATACGCAGCAGAGGGCATGTTCCGCTCTACGTAAACTAATGTACACTGTGGCGAGGAAATAAATAAATCCTAATAGATCTAATTCCCTTCTTTACCCTCCTGATAAGTGTCTTAGCCCGCAGGACGTGAAGTCATCATCCCTCATGCTCTCTCTTTGGCCCAAGGAAGAGAGAATTATGCCACAGATAGTAGAACAGGAGGCACCAAAAAAATTCTTATTCAGTATTACTCTCCCAGCCGGGATGTTCAGGATGTTCATTTGGCACACCCTAAACTCAAATCAATTCTCTGTCTGACTCAGGGTAAGAAATTTAAATCAGAGACTCAGTTTTTGAGATGCGTGCTCCAATCACCAAGTTATATGAAATAGATAATGATTCGGAAAGAAAATCTGGTGCATGCTTGGACATTGTTTTTCGCAGTGCAAACACTAAGTATTTCTGAACGTTGTTGGCGTATTCACAACTACTGTTGGTTAATTCACAACTACCTAAAACAATTAACAATTATTAACAATTCCCCTAGAACTCAGGTCGGAATATCTGCAGCTTTTCCTATTTTCAGTAAAATCCTTGGGGTTTCTTTTAAAAGGTTAAGACTTACTTTTCTCCACAAACATCATATTTCAGCTATTTGGAAACTGCCTTTCATTGAGATCACGGTCAGCAGTAAAGGTGAATCTGAGCTTGTTAATAATGACTGTACAGCTGGTGACACATACACACAGTTTGCAGTGACAGTGTGCTATTTACCAGAGAATGTATTCCTTCTGTTGAACCCTGGCTAACATGGGAAAAAATGAGGCAATGTTCTTTTTTCTTTCACCCTCACCTCTTCTCCTCTGGATAGATATATAGAGAAGTAGGAAAGAGCCTCTTTGCTTATTATTTAATGCAAATATGATTTCAACTAATGACACGCAGCTTGTCTGCACTTCACGGCTCCAGGGCTAACAGCCAGAGAAAAACAAGTGCTGCTGGAATAATATATTCAAAACTCAGCGGAGACTAGCAACTCCAGAAAGCAGCTGGACTAACTTGAACCTGGGGAAGGCATTTGTGTGATACAGTATCATGCTGTACTACATCAAACGGGCAAATAGCCCATGAGACTAAAGGAAAAAGACTGTAGGGAGAGCTGTGAATGCAAGACTGAACCTAAGGAGGCTGAAAGTGCTGCATTACCAGGATGGACACTGCAGGCACATGTATCCCTGGCATCAGCTTCTTCGAATTTTTCAATTCCATGGCAAATAAGAGGTTGTGTGAGAGAAACCCTGCATAAAAGGAGTTCGGGACTATCGCCTGCTAGAGATGCTTTTCAGCATAAGCTGCATGTGAGGGTAGACAAAAGTGCCAAGTCGCCAGCACAGAATATGTTTCTCTTAGTTGATCTTCTTATTTCTGTAATTACGGAGATGCTTCTCTTTTTTTTTTTCTTCTTTTTTTGTGTGCATGTGCTGTCAAGCAAGCGCTTCAGGAGGGAAACTTCACCTGTTAAACTAATTGCTGCTGAGTAGATACCTCCAGTATCTGAGAGAGAAGCCTGGTTCCCACCCCCGCGTCTTACCAACGTAGAGCTGGCTATACAGTTCCAGGCGCGTGTGTCCTTCTGTCGGTGCTTTCCGCACCTCCAGCGGCAGCTGGTCTACCTGCAGGCTGGCCTGTTTGACATTCCTCTCCGCGTTGACCCGATGCCACTGGTCGTCGTTGAGCTGGCTGGGAGACCGGACAACGATTTCCACAGGTCCATTTCCAACATCAAACGAAAAGGAAACCTCTGTAGCAGCTGAAACACCAAGTAAAAAGGAATAAATCCTATGTTGCAACCATATTCACTTATTCTTCCTAAACAGAAAGGAATTAATCTGTACTAAAAACATACACTACTCAGCCACCTTTCTAAATTTATAAGCACATTCAGTTCTATCTAACTTGAAGAGAAGTTAAAGTTTCAAGAAGATGTATTTTAAAATTTAACCAAAACAAACTATAGCTTTGAATAAGATTTTTCACTTCCATAAATACTTTCAGTAGTACTGGAAAAACATGTTCACTAATCTTTAGAAGAAAACATTAACAGAAAGTGAAACAATGAAATGCATTTTTGATGTTTGCATTTTCCAATTTCCATAGCTTTTTTTTAAAGCAACTATGCATTTTAATAAAAAAGTGGTGCAGAAGAAGTCCATATTTTCTTTTCTTTCCCATATTCTTTTGAGGAGCAATTAATTTTTACAAAGAACTAATAAATACATGAAGCAGCAGAAAGAAATGACATGAGATTTTACGGCTGAAAAAGAAAGGATTCTTAGGAGGCAGTATAGTGCTCAATTCATGTTTTACAACGATTCAGAAATGTTCAGAAATTTTGAAAATGACTGTTATGCTCTAACAGACATTCCTTCAGGTCGTACTCTGCAAATGATATAATTGGTACTAATCATTAAACAGGGAGCATGATTAATAACATACAGGTGATTTTTGATTAAAGAAATAGAATTCTGAGTTTCCTATTGAAAGTTAGGTTACCTACTATTACAATTATTTTATAGCAGCAGAACATCAGACGAAAGCATTACCAGAGAGAGCATTCACTAGTCACTGACATATCACTAACAAGTAAAGACAACTGAGAGTTCCATTTAGTTTGTTTTTCTTACATATAAGAAAGAAAAGCTGTAGCTCCCTTTTTACTCATCTGAAAAAATCCAGTGCCCGACTATGTTTTCAATGTTTCAGTTCAGCTGTGGTTTCTCATTCGACTGACTTAATTAATAAACCATCTTGCAAAATCTTACTCAGCAAGGCTGATAAATTGTGGTAGATGGGCCACTCAGTGATCATCATCACTAACAATACTGAGAAATAGTGGGAAATACTTTTTGTGCATGGCCTAGTAGATTTTCACAATGCTTTTGTCGGACGGAATTAAACTGTGGATGTTTTTATGACATCTGGAAGGATAAGAATGAACTTTTTACAGAGAATGTTCTTTCAAACAAAATGGATTATACACATGACACTTTTCATCCCTTTTTTTTTTCTGCAGAATTAGTTATTGCTAAAAGGAAAATTAAAAGCCTGTTTAATTACTGAATTGCTCTCTGTTCTCTGCTGACTGAAATAGTTTCATTTCTTGCATGAATTGCCTTTCACAAACCATGAGTTTAGTCTGTTTGGCCCTTTGCACTTTACTAGACAGAAAATCTGTATGCGCCAAGGCTTGCTATTAAAGAAATAAAGAGGTTTCATTTCAATGTTATCACGTCTTCAAAATTCAGGGGTTCTGCCAGTAAACTGGGGCAAATTAGAAATTAGAGTAAAGCCTCTCCAGTATTTAGGTTTTAACTTATGTTCAAGTCTGTTTTCAGCAGTGAGCGTGTATTTCTCCACTGCTTTTTGCTTTGAAGAAACCCTTTGGATCTCTTCACTGTTGGGCTTGAATTGCTTCCCAAAAGCTGTCTGTCTACAGGGCTGTAAGAATGAGAACTCCTTAGCAGGGTTTTCATCTTATCTTGAGGCAACTGATAGCACTGCTGAAATCCCTAGTGGGTGCCTTGCGTGTGACCCCATCCAGCATTTTGAAAACTTCTACAAGAGCACTTCTGGATTTGCAAGCTCTTGGTCTTCAGGGCAGATATAGCTCTAATTTTTTAAAGGAAGATTATTCTTCCTGTGAAAGAGAAAGAGAAGTGTAGAGAATTGGCAAACAGAGATATTCCAAGTTGAAGTTCTGGGCTTGCACAGTCCAGCTTTAGGCATGACTTTAGCCTGGAGGCTGTATCACAGCCTGAGAGACTTATACTATAAAGATTTCTGCTGTAATTATACTTATTGGAGAACATTATTAATGCAGACATGAAAGCAAGAATACCATCTGCATAAATTCATATTGGATTTTTATATTTAATCTTATAATTTGAGGAGGTAAAGCATTCCAGAATAACCTTCTCATCAAAGGTTTGTTTTCAGTACCTTCTGACTTGCTGAAAGTTAAGAGAAGTACAAGAGAAGCACAAAATCTATGGGCTGTGTTGACGTATCCCCAAGCAACCTAAAAACATGATTCATATAAAACGAGGTTTTATAAAACATTTGTTTGCTAGATTGCTGGGCTGAAAAAACATAAAGTATGTCACTATAAAAAGCTTTAGCAAGTGAGCACAGGCTGCAGGTCAGTATGTCCTACAGGTGACTTCTATCACCGGTTTGGACGCTTAATTTTCAATTTCTATTTGAATGAATTTTTAAGTCTACAGCTTAAGTGTATTCTCCAGCCAGATGAATCTCGAAGTAAAACGATTAGTACTGGCATCGTAATAGAAATGGAAGAACATCAAATTTATTCAGAAGTTCGATATGACTCGTTATACAGACATACAAAGTATGGTTTACTTTGCAGAATGTGGCATCTTTGCCTCAAGCATCCTTGTTCCACAGAAAAGTGGTATTATTCTGACAGACTTTTGAAAGGGAGGATTAGAAAACATTTAACATTTAACATTTTATATTTAACATTTTACATTTATTTAATATTTTATATGTACAGAAGCTGGCATTTGTTTACAGTGACCAACTGGACCAGAGCAGGATGTTTCAAAAACAAATCAGCATCACAAGTAGCAGAGGTTTGTACTGCTCAGTCACTTGGTAGCTCATGAAGTCAGCTAACCTAATGACCATTTTATTTCCTATTCAATCAAATACCATAAAACTCAAGCCAGTTGTTCTGAAAAATGAGAATGGGGATCAAATATTGAACAAATGTCTTAAGTTGTTTAGTTAAGAAATAAGCACAGAAAATAAATGTATTCGTTAGTGTAGTCAGTCAGTACAAAGTTTTGTGATGGAAATTCCATAAAACTGAAAAAGGGTGATTTTTTTATGTGCTCCTGCCACACATTCACTTAATAAACTGAGACTTGTGCCTACACATAGTTTTACCCTTTCTGTGCCTTGACCAATTGCATATAATTAAATCTGAACACGATCCTTTCACCGATTCAGTTTTCTAAGGTCTTACGTCATTTGCAGCCATCTGCTCAGAAGGTAGAACTGTAGAGAAGTGCAACTTTTGCAATTAAAATGCGCTTCTCGCTGTTCTTACTGTGTAGCAGTAACTTACCTGTTTTCAGCTCTTCCCACAGTCTTCCTGTCTGAGATCTATGAGGTATTTGCCCACAGCATGAAGGGACACAATGGTATTGTATGTGGGATTCTGTATTTCTTGGATTCTTCCTTTCAAGGCTTTCTGGTAGATATTGCTTAGCTCTTAGGCTTGGGAGGTGGAATGCACTTCCATGTCCTTTGCTATGCAGAAGGTCAGACTAAATGATCTAGTAGTTCTTTCTGGCCTTTAAGATCTATGAATAAGCAAGTCTCCCTTTTTGCTAGAATTCTTTGTGTTTCAAGTTTTTTCTTTCCATTTTTCTAGTTTGATCTTTGTCGATAAATGGTAGGCTAGAATCTCTAACTGTAATGAGATAGCCACCAAAGAGATGCTCATGGACAGCTGGGTGCTGACAAGATGCTGAGTAGTAGGCAGAAAGTCTCAAAGACACGTCAGCTATGAAAAAAAAAGCGGGAGGGATTACAATCTTTTGCTCACCGATATTTTGCATGCCTCTCTCTCTTTCTCTCCCTCTGTCTCATTATCCTTTCCCTGGAAAAGATAATTTCTGCTTCTTCCTTGTACTCTTTTCATGTTGACTCCCCTGATGTATTTATATACTTTTCTATGGGACTCACCAATGTTTTTGTTGACTTACATCAAAGGGAAAAGTAGCTTCCTTACGATCCCTTTGAAATCCCACTCTTAGAACACAAACACCTTGTTAATGCACATTGCTAGATTCTAAGCTCACTTACTTGGCTGTAAAACACGGTACAACAATAAGCTATAAACCATAGACTATAAACTGCCAGACAGATATTTTTCCTCTCTACTTTGCTTGCTTGTTCCATGAAATCAACAGTTTAAAAATATTCTATCCCTGGAAGAGTGACATCTGCCAAACTTTTTGGACAGCTTATTTTTTAAATACACCTCTGATTAACAGCTCAGTGACTAAACCAGGTGACAGAATGCAGTGAAATGATTGAAAATGAATGAAAACCTGATCAACAGCTAGATGCTAAATGCTCCTGAAGCCTGTGGGTTATGTATGTATATATGGAATCCATCACCAGTTTGAAGATCGGGTCTCATATCTGTGGCTACTGGGATTCTTTCCACTGACTTTAGTAGATTCTGGATAGAGCTAACTTTCTAGGTTACGAAACTTGTGCAAGTAAATGCACAACTTGTCCACCGTTCCCACTAACTATCTGATAGCTGAGTTCTAGGGTAGTCTTACAAAGTCATCTCTAAATTACCAGCCCCGCTGCCCTCATCTGCACAGGGCTGAGGGACGGCCATGCCAATGTGGAAACAGTGTTGACAGCTTGCTCCTAGCTGCTCAAAATATATGAAAGGGGATTCAGATGCTTCCCTGAAGTGCTGTTGGAATATAGGACCTGCTCTGAGGAAGCAGCTTATTGAGGGACAAAACTGAAAAACACAGCCACCAAAACAACATTCTGTAGAGAAACTGTTGATTCAAGTTGCTTGACTGCAATGGAGGAATTACTCTGTAGCTTAACTGACTGTTAATAATCAGGTAGTCGTCAAAAATCATGACCACATTTTCAGTAATTGGACTAAGCATCTGGAAGTTTTCAACATTTATCAAGTTCCCAAATGAAATGGTCATTTGAACTAATGAGTGAAAGCTTTGCTCATTTGAC